CATCCAGGTGGCCTAGCTTTTGTGGAGGATTTTAAAGTGTTAAGAATGGGGAAACTTTCCAAAAAGACCAATTCTTAGTGAGCTCCGCAGTACACTGTGAATCATGGAACAAGCCTGTAGATTCTAACTTCTCTTCAATGTCTCCGCTCCTTTTCAGGGCCACGCTTTAGGTCCTTTTCTTATGACATCTCACCTGCATTTTTGTGGCTTTCTGGAATCCCCCCTCCCCCGAGAATGCAAAAAGTATCTTAAGATCTCTTAATGACTTCTGACAAATTTGAAGAAAAAGATCAACCCCACCACCTTCTAGTTTGGTTCCAGGTCGTTCTGCCCTGGTGGCTCAGCTCTACTTCACTAGCCACCTTGCCCCAAACTCCATCCCCAATGTTGGTTCTAGTCACTGTCCCTCCAAAGCCACACTGACTCACAGCTCTGTGACTTGCACCCTCAGCCCTCTGTCCTTCGGTAAGTAAATCCATGCCTTCAAAGCCTATTCCAGCCTGCCTTCCCCTGGTTGCTGCCCATGGCAATAGCCAGCTTACTCACCCTGCAACCACAGTGGCAGGGAGGCGGGGGGTTGTCACCTGCTATTTTAGGTGCTGTGGATTTTCTCTACTCAATATGATCTTGTGCGACCGAGTAGATTCTACCCCCAAGGATTCTCCAAGCTGTATTTAACTGCCCATCTTTTGGGTAACAGGCAAGTGCTTCACCAGTGCACCACCAGGGCCCCCGAGAAGTTTCCTATAGGAAATTGGGTCCTCTATTAGGGGAAAGCTGGGATGAAAGTTGATCCAAGGTTGCTGGAATGGGGAAGCCAGACACAAAGGTATGTCCCTAGAGGCTGGGGTAGGAAGAGCAGGTGGAGCTGGCTGGCCTTGGGTATCTGCTGGGGCAGAGCCTTGCAGGGGCATGGCAGGGAGGTGGTGAGGGTACGGTGGGGGAGGGGGGGGGCTTGAAAATGAACATAACCCAGGTCTGTGGGTACCCAGGGTCGCCCGAGACCTGGGGTCACTGAGGGACCTGGGTCTGTGAGAAGGTGTGTCACCCAGGTCTGCGGTCATCTAGGGGCCTGGGCCTGTGGAAAAACTGGGCCATCTGTGGGCCAGAAGTGTCCAGGGTCTGAGGTCACTGATGACCGGGTCTGTGAGGGGACCACTGCGGTGTTGGGGTGTGAAGGTTAGCATCTGTGAGAGGCCAGGTTACCTAGGATCAGTGGAGGCCTGGCGTTGTCTCAGGGATGGGGGCAAGTCACTTGGAGTCTGCCTCAGGTTCTGTGAGGAGCCAGGGACACCCCTGGCCAGGGTCTGTAATCAGGCAGTCGCCACAGATCTGGGGTCACTTAAGGGCTGGGGTCCATGGAGGTCTGTCAGGTGCCTTGGTGGCCTGGGTCAGTGAGAGGTTTTGGGGGTCACCAGAGTGCTGGGCTACCTCGCGATGGGCTCCGTGAGGAGCTGGGGTGCCTAGGGCGCCCAGGTCTGTCGAGGTAAGGTCGCATGTGGAGTGGGAACCCAGGGACAGGATCACCGGGAACCTGGGGCCAGGGTCCCAGGAGGCAGGGTCACGGGGCCCTCGGATAATTGCGAGGCCGGGGTGGCCAGAGACAGAGGTCTGTGAAGCGCCCCGGGAGCGAGCTCCCCACCCCCCGCCGCTGCCCTCGGGCATGCACGCCCGCAGACGCCGAGGCCGCGCTCACTCACCTGCGCTAAAGCCTGGAACCCTCCAACTCTCCCAGCCACAAGCCGCGCTGCCAAAGGCCACGCCTCCTAGCGTCACTTCCGGCTGGCGGGGAGAGTGGGAGGAGCTGCGTCGGAGAGGTCCCGCCCCACTTTTGCTGCTGCCCCGCCCCGTCATCACGTCGAGGTTGCTAGGCAGCGCCGATTGGCTACGCCCTCAGCCTCAGTGTGGTTCGGCGCCTCCAAGCGGGCGGAGCGCGCTGTGCGGACCATGCGTCTGGCCTCTG